GAAAATGTGAAAAGTGGAATGTTTAAGTATGAGTTAATATATAAGTAAAAGAGATTATGGTGTAGAAATGCTAGTTGTGAATGTTATGTTGCTAGTAATAAGTTGGGTGATGCATGTTCTATGTCTGGTTTAATGTGTTTGATTGCCTATTGTTTCCAAGTATTAGAGTTGTTGTGGGTAGCAATCTCACTGAGTAATTTCTTCCCGGAATTACTTACCCCTATTTTTCCCTTTTAGTTTGTGCAGGTATGTTGCTTGTTGAGTAAGTTAGGGCACGAGACCTAGGGCTCAAAGTGATCAGGGATCGGGTGTCACAAGCATCTTCAGTTTGGAAAAAGAAAAGTTCGTTTATGTATTGGATAATTGTTCTTTTCATGTGCGTGTAGCCATCAACACATCCCAACGAAGGATTCGATTGGATTATACAAAGGCAAAAGACTTTTACGTCTTATAATTATATAATAAATCTTAGCAAATCAGAGTTGACAATAGGGTTTAAAAAATTCAGGATTATTAGTTCAATAATTTTTAAAAGAGAATAGCACTAGCTGGTACGAACTTTATCTCATCGCTCGCATATAAAAGTAACGATGAACCAATTGCATGGGTTACAAAATGGTGTTAAATGACACATAGTTTAGTATCATGTTTGCATTTTGAATCGCAGCTTTTGCTTTAACAATAACCCAATTCGAAACAGATTAGCAGTTAGTAAAATCATCACAGACTAATCATGCATCTGCTTTTGCAACAATGATGTCGAGAGTCGAGACCACCAATAATTTTAATGTGATTACACCCAAAATGTTTGGCATGTGGCAATGGACGTCTAGTTCACGTACGCATCTTATCCGACATGATGCATGGGACCAGATTAGGACATGGTCTAGTGAGAAGATCTGCATTACTAAATTTATCTTGGTCCTATATATAGCTGCTGCATGTTTTCTCACATTTCTAAGATGATGGATCCAATCCATGTCTTTGATGTTTGTGCACATGACTACAAAATAATCATTGTTTAAAAAACGTTTAGATTTGATTTTTAGATATAAACCAATAAACCTTGATCGGCGCAACTATTAACCGAATGATTCAAAATGTGAGTAAACCGCATGTTGCATGGAGAAAAAAGTTATTTAAACGGGGACCTCGATGGCATATATATATATGTGTGTGTGTTTTTACTTTCATACGTGTTTTCGATTCGTTGTCTTTAAAATTCGTTAGTCGACATGAAAGCAAGTGAAATGCTTAGCTCATATATAGAGAATCTCTTTCTATCGATACCCTCTCTTTTAAATTATTATACAAAACCAGCTTTTTGTGAGTTGCAAAATATTGTGGAAGTGGCGAGTCGGGAATAGAATCCTCACGAAGAAGATGGGGACGTAGCCTAAAGAAAAAAGAGACCCTATTTTGGATAACTATTTCTCCAACTCATAAAGATGCCTCTTGATAGGCTTTACATATTCCATTTCCTTAGAGAGAGAGAGAGTAATTATGCTAGGAGAAATCCAATTCAACTTTAAACCTTAATTGTAATAATTATGCTAGGAGATTCACGAAGCTTTGATGTTTCTGATTCATGAAAATTCTATGATGATAAGTGGACCCTAATTAGTTAGATTAACTTAATTCAAACTAAAGGTCTAAAATGATCTCATGAAAATATTTGGCGCTAATCCGCCTATTAGGGTCGGTGGCATGAATTATAATTGAACATGAATCAATTAACAGTATAAATCTAGACTGCACAGCATCGGATTTACCTGATGGTCGCATTTTTCTTTCCATTTCGAATATTGAAAACTATACTAATTAGTCGGTACTTATTAGAGTTTATTGTCTAGAGTAGCCTCTCTATAGTGTCGCTTGGGTTCGTTTTGACCCAGTTATAACCTAATGTAGGTTTCTAAAGGGTTACATAGGATTCATGGCTTTGGGATATTTGCAAAGCTTCCGCACAAGGCAGGAGATATGGAAGCGGTAATGAACAAACATTGTACGACCATAGACGTTCTGATTACGAACGAATTGACGCCATAATCGTGTGCCGTCAGCAAAAAGAAGTTCTCCTACACTAATCCGAATGTTGAAATACATTTTCGCGTCCACATGACTACGAACTACGTCCGGTATACTCGTCTCTGCCCACAAGTTACTATCTAGGTTGTGGGTATTATCAATTCTCCAAACCCCTTCAGTAAGGATCGAGACATCTAATGGGTTCCATCATTGCATCAAGAAAGAATTCTGGAACACCACATTCCACTGATCAAAGCTCAACCAATCCCATCGAGAAGCTTAAAGAACCACATTCTAAAGGGACATCACCCATCAATGAAGCTTGGAACTTTCAGCAAAAGTTATTAGCCACCTAAATAATTGTCAATTTCTAAGATACTAACTACAGATGATACCTGATTACTAATAATTGTCAATAGTCATTGATGCAAGGAACAAACAAGCTTCATTGATTTTTCTTGCATCCATGAAGCTAGGATCTTTCAGCAGAAGTTATAAGCCACCT